TTAGCCCCTGCCCCTGTTGCAAATTGCCAGCTCACTGAGCTCAGCAGATCCGAAGGACACGGATTCCTGATCATTCCAAAATTGTCGCGAACCTGATGACCAACATCTGTCGGCCTTATGAACGAGCAATTACCCGCCTCTCCGACGCCGTCGTTCACATCGACTGCAAGCCTAAGTGGGTCGAGTGAGGCAGACAGCGATCTCTTCTCAACCCTGTTCGAGCTACCAGCGCTTAGCTACTCACCCAGCTCCGCTTCCGACAGAGGAGATCGCCCTTTTCCTTACACTCGGTCCAAGACACGTTGGCGAAAGCGACCAAACGACGAGCTAAAGTATCTGCGAGCTCAAATCATCGATCTAGAGGGTCTGAAAACGGCGCTGAGCTACCAGCCGAGACGACATGGTGGGAATGCCAATGAACCCCACGTCAGCGAAGAGTGTCACGCGAAGCAGCTGCATGCTGCGCTCAAAGAGAACCGAAGACTGCGAGCAATGGTAGCGCGTCGGTTCCAACTCGCTTGCTCGCTTCAAAGTGCAATCGATGAGCAGTTGCGGCTGAGAGCTGGGAAAATCTCATGGCCGAAAAGCACTGCGACTTCGGACGAGTTGATTTTTGCCTTGCTGGACGAAGAGAAAGACAAGCAGTTCGCTGTGCTCGACAAGGTAATGGAGGAGAGTGGGATCGCGCGAGTATTTCACTCGCTGTACTCTTCACTGCAGCTCCAAGTTAGCGGAAATCGAGTGTCGTTCCAGCACAGCGAGGTGCGAATGCTCCCGTTCAATGTGGCGGATGTGGCTGGCTCGCTTCGACACTGTTTGAGCTACGGATCGAGAGTCGGGCCGACTAGACACTGTCGCAACATTCGGATGTATGACGAATACTTTCATGCTGTTACGGCCGACAAGGTGGAACTGCCAGAGACTCAACCTGCCGACGTCAGCTCCAGAGTCGTTCAGTTATGTGTAGCTAAGCCTGAGAAGACGGTCGTGACGTGGTCGGCTTATGTTGAGTATAAAGGTTCGAAGTGCATTCGTTTGCTGGAGAAGACGTGGATTGTATTGGAAGCGATTCCGTTGGGAAAACTCGGTATGTTTCCGGTGGGGGGACGGATGCACGGCACGTTGATGCGAGTTGTAGTTCGATTGACGCCGGTAGAGACTGAGTTTGATCTGCACAAGACAAAAGATGTCGAGGAGATGGCGAACGTCGTTGTGGGCACGTACCAGCGCAATGGCCAACGGATGCTCCAGGCGATGCTCGAGTATTTGAAAGATTGCCAACGAAATCGGTGAGAAACGTGAACAAAACTAAGCACCAAGAGAGTGGCAGCCACGCATTTAGCACTTTACGTGTGTCGTTGCGCACGATGTGGCGAGTATTACAGGTAAATACAGGAGGAAGTAGCAGGAGTAAGTCGTATGTGTTCCAAGAACAAATGTAATTGCTTGTCACTTGGGCCTCAATGCGATAATCGTTGGAATCAACTACAGTATTAACCTTATTGAACTTAGATATGTTCATTTAAAGTGGAAAAGCTTCTAGCATCATTTCCACTTTACTGTGTACGAGTCGTACCTCTTCACTATCCTGTTGACTCAGTCCATTTCCAATTTTATGACTTTTTAAAGACCCGGACAACTATTATGCACCACTACAGTAGGTAACGGACAGAGCAGTGTCATTTAGCTTGGGCTTTGTCGGGTGTCGTCTCGCGCCGTTCGCAACAACTCACTCGAACCTCATTTCAGTAAACGAAGATGGCCGAGCAATACGATCGAGAAGGGCGACCATTTCCTTACACCCGATCGAAGACGCGATGGCGCAAGCGGCCGAGTGACGAGCTCAAGTACTTGAAAGCGCAAGTGGTTGACTTGGAGAAGCTACTTGCAGCTCTCAGCCACTCTGACTCGTCCCGTCCGAGACTTCTGAACGACGGAGAGACGACCAGTGACAACCAAGTTGAGATGCTCCAAAAACTTTACCGAGAAAGTGAAGTAGACAAGTTAAAAGACGCGATGAAGCAGAACCAGTACCTGCGAGCAATGCTCGTCCGGAAAGTTCACTTGGCTCGATCTCTCCAGTCCGCCATTAGTGAGCAGATGCGACTAGGCGTACGGAAGATATCGTGGCCAACCCGTGAAGGAGCAGCAGATGAAGTGATTTTCGCCTTGCTAGATGAAGAGAAAGAGCGTCAGTACGCTGTGCTTGACGAAATGTTGGAGCAAAGCGGGATGGCACGAGTTTATCACCATTCATTCTCTAGGCTCCTGCTTCATCAAAGCGGGAAAACAGTGTCGTTCCAGCACAATGAAGTGCGCCTGCTCCCGTTTGCCGTGTCGGATGTCGCTCGCGCATTGCGCCACAGCTTGAGTTTTGGGGCGCGAGTTGGGCCGACCAAGCATTGTCGAGACATCCGCATGTACGATAGCTACTTCCACGCGGTTACTGCTGACAGCGTCCAGCTGCCAGACGCCCAATCTGCGGAGGTCAAGTCGAGAGTGCTTCAGTTGTGTGTCACTCAGCCAGAACGCACTGTGGTGACCTGGTCGGGCTACGTCGAGTATAAAAGCCACAAGTTTATTCGCCTACTGGAGAAAACGTGGGTCGTCCTGGAGTCCATTCCGATGCCGGCAACGGGAGGAAGGACTCATGGGACGTTGATGCGGGTGGTTGTTCGCTTGACGCCAGTCGAAGCTGAGCTAGATCCACAGAAACCGGAGGATATTGTGGAGATGGCAAATGTAGTCGTAAGCACTTATCAACGCCATGGACAACGAATGCTCCAGTCGATGCTTGAACAGCTGAGCGATTGCATGAGAACGGGAACACGCATTTGAAGACGTGAAAGGTGCCTGCATCTTGTGGTGTCGGTGGTTTTTAAGGAGAGGGTCGAGTTAAAAGTGAGTGGTTAAACGTGAGAACAGTGTCAACATGATCGAGTAGCAAGATAACACAAGCTCTTCACGCTTTGGCAATGGCATGAATGTAACTTCGCTCAACCTCGTGAAATACACGTACTGTACATGTAGCTCCCTATCAGTGCAGCTCAATTCAATTCTAGGAAGATAGAGGGTTTTACATGAGGCAATTGAGCTCGAACATTGCCACTTCTTGGCGAGGAAAACTTTGCTGACAGGCATGTCAGACGTCCTATAAACCGACCGTCTACTGTAGAAACCAAGAATCAACGTTAAGCTTAGGACGCCACGACATCTTTCGATCTCCACTCATGTTGGAAATGCGCCTGTTGGTATAACGTCGTACGTGTACGATCAACAGAAGATACCCGTTGCTGTCATTCAAGTGGAACCCCCTATTATATCGCCAACGAACTAACGTTTCTTGACTCAGCGGACATCTTACCAAGGTAAAGTTATATTGTGCATGTCGGATCTTATCCGGTAGCAGTACTGGTGAAAACAATGGCCTGCCATCAGCAAGGATTGTGGGGACTGGTAACGTTCACATCCGCATACATGTACAGTGCGAGCGTCGCGCTCTATGGATTATTACCAGTAATGTGTTTGCGGTCAATGTATGTTTTGCCCGATGGCTGTATGTGTATATGGAGCACGTGGCGTTTCTTTAGTCAATACGAACATGTGGGTGGGGCATTGTGAGCTTCTGTATGCTTTCTTTCTGTGTTGAAGATCTTTGCCTTTACTACCTGGCCTCCTTATGGTGTTGATGTGAAATCGATATACTTCCCAGCAAATGTAGGTGAGTCTCGTTGACGAACTATTTGGACCCATTCTGTCTGGTCATTCTCCAATTACCCTCGCCGCGATGAATACTACCGTACAAGAGCCCTGGAGCCTTCAACCGACCTGGAATGGTTTTGGTAAGGCTATTCAATCTCCAAGCAACGCCTCGGTTACCGAATCGGACGCGTCAAGTGAGAGCGACTGTGATCTGTTAAGCCTGTTCGAGCAGCCACTGTCTCCCAAGTGTGTCAGCAGAGAGCGCTCCGACAGAGGAGGGCGTCCGTTTCCGTACACCCGATCCAAGACGCGATGGCGCAAGCGTCCTCATGACGAGATCAAGTACCTACGGGGTCAACTTGGTGAGCTGCAGAAACTGAAAAGTGAGTTGAGCAATCGCGACACGAAGCCATTCCATGCCAACGATCCTACGAAGGACAGCAACCGCCCCGAGTCCTTCCAATATGTCCGTGAAGAAAAGAGCGACAAAGAACTTGGCGCGGCGCTGGCAGAGAATCGAAAACTGCGCTCGATGGTGGCTGCTCGTCGTCAAGTGACGAAGGCGCTTCAAGTTGCGATCGACGAGCAAGTACGACTCAAGGCACAAAGAGTTTATCACGCCAATGACTCGGTGGCTCCAGCCGAGTTACTCCCCGCTTAAGGGAGTGTTGAAAGTGTCGTTTTGGTGTTGTTTGGAAGTATTATGAAGTCGAGACGGGAACCTTTTGAGTCGTAGCAATAGACCAACTTTTATCATGAGTTTGCCGTTATTACCGCGTTGCGTCTTGCGTAGTCATTCGCGTTTTATCAGCACAGCAACGTTAGACGAACGAGATCGCGTTTCCTACTGCACCAGAGCTGCTGGAATACGCATGATCGAAGGACGCGCCCAACTCGTCAAGTAAATGTGATCACCAAAGCGAGACGCGCCTGAAATAATCGGCGTCTGGCCCTGAGAAGCTTCGTACACGAAGCGAATGTCGCCCGTTTCCAAGTCTACCGAAGCAAACAACCCAAGACGATGCACGAAGATCACCGTCATCCACGTCGGGAGTAGCGACAAAAGCTTGCGCATCTTGACGCTCTGCTTGAGGTAATGGAAGACGCCTCCGTTGTTGTGCGACACCATCCCCACCATCAGCACTTCTGTCTCATTCTCCCCAGCGCCGACCTTCTCGATCGAGATATTGTCAGGCTCACCAGGCAAGAAGGCAAAGTCTTTGATCTGCTTCGTTTTCAAGTCGAAGCGCACGATCTTGTTCTGGAACATGATCGCTATGAGCAGACCAGACCCGTCCTTGTCCAACGTCAGCCCATTGGGGAATCCCAGACTCCCAGCCACCACATTGACCCTCTCAGTCCTCGGATCAAAGTGCAGCAAGTAGCCCGAAGGCATCCGTTCCAAGAACTCCATCACCACGCGGTTGCGTTGGAAGCGACGCGACGACTCTGTCACGTACACTTCCCCCGTCTCGTGCACGACTGCGATGCCGTTCAAGAAGTTGGTGTGTTCCTCTCCGACGCGACTGAACAGCAGCGTGTGCTTGCCAGTGGCGTCGAACAGCAGCAGGCCTTTGTACGCGTCCGCCACCAGCAGCACTTGGTCGCCCGTGAACGTCTTGGCGTCTGGGATTCTCTTGAGGAACTTGGTGAACGGCTTGGCCGGCGCAAACGCGAGTCCCAGCGGACGTCCACACGTCGGTTCCATGTCTAGAGCGCCGCACTCGGGCAGATCGCGTCCAGTTCTGGAAAAATTGCGGAGCTCATTCGCTGCGGCGGTGAAGCTCGCGAGACGACCATCAGCCAATCCGACGTAGGCGACTCCATCCTGACTTACTACCAAGTCTTCTGCGCTCAGAGCCTGGCCGAGGAAGAGACTCTCGGCATGCGGAGCTTCGAACAGCTCCGTGTTGCTCACCAGCGTCTTGGTCTCATTGTAACGAGCCTCCTGTTGGCTGGTGCGCAGATCGTAGGCGCACTCCAACGGCTGCGGCTCCACTTCACCCGGATATTGGTCCAGGGCTGAGGATAACAGAATGACGAAGAAACATGCTGCGAGCAGCTCACGAGACAGGAAGTTGCGCACTTGCATCGTAGGAACACTTCCACCACACGAGCAATTGATGAATGACGTCAATTTGTGTGTTAGGATTTTATTTTTTAGGTGCCTGACTAGATGATCTAATTTTACAAAATACTCTCAAAACTAATACACTACACTTCTTAAAACAACAAAATCACGCTGCTGAAATCATATACCCCCACATTTTAAATTACATTTATTGTAAGAAATAAGGTTTGCCAAGTGTAATGTATTATGTGCTCATAGCTGATTACGACTCGCGATTTGTGATTTACTGCGTCTTCTTCTTCATGGCATTATCTAGCATGAGGTTCTCCAATACCTGGTAGAGCAGACTGAAGTTGCAGTTGTATGTTTCCATGACAATTTCCGTCATCTCGTCGACGTGCTGCTTCTCGTCTTCCTCCGAGTAAAACTGCATGACAGGCGCCACGCGGACTGCCGATCGCAGTGTGGTTCCTGGAGCTTGGGAAATGTAGCCATTCCTCTTGAATTGATAAGGCTCTAGAGCGATCCATCCTTTCTCCTCGAGGCGGATGAACATGGAGCCTTGGATCTCAACGTACGCTGCCCACACGTTAATCGTTCGAGTTGCCTCCGGAATGCTCCGCTGAACAAGCCTTGTTGTGACTTCTACTTGACGGCCATTCGGTAAATTTAGTGTAGTGACCGTAGTAGCCCGTAAACAGTTGTCTTCCTTCCAGAGCTTTCGACAACGAGCCATCGGGCGTCCCGCGTCTCCGTGGCTGAGCGAGTTGTGCAATGCGTGGACTACACTTGAGAACGGCAGCAAATGAGCCTCACGAACGTAAAAGGAGATTCCGTCCGCATTGCGCTTTACGTGGAGTTTTGGGTTTAACTCGCAGTGCTCAAGCGAAACTGCGCTGGTTGCCAGCTCTTTGTCTACTGAAGCGTGTTGACTCCCCATATCCTCTTCAAGTAAAGCGTAGATCATTTTTTCAGATAGATTCGAAGGCTGAGGTCGCTCCGCGTCGCCAGTGAACCAACGTCTTTCCTGACTCGATTTTCTCCAGTGCTGGTCGATGGCATTTTCCAGCATTCGAGCCACGCGTAGCTGTTCTTCCAGCGCTGTACGAAGCTTCACGTTTTTCATCAGCACCTTATTGGCTTGTGCACTCTGTCTCGCAGCTAGGCTCTCCCACGTGTCGTCCTCACTAAGCTCTAGCTCGACGGTAGATGTCAGACGACTGTCCGGTTGGCGCAGTACTTGTAGCTCTTCCTGGAGGTCGACCACCTGCTGCCGCAAATACTCGAGCTCATGGTTCGGTCGCTTCCGCAGACGCCCTTGGCATCTCGTGTACGGCGTCGAGCGCTCAGTCTTGAGCATTGGTATACACGCCTCCATGTCTATTCGGGGAATATTTTATGTCGATTTGTCTTGCTGGCCTTATGGGAAATCGAGTGCCAAGGGATCGGCTCACATTGCTAGTGTGTCTCTTGCTTCAGCAGTCTACGAAGAGGCATGTTCCTTACGTGAGGGAGGAGAAGCACCATAACAATCATAACGGTGACAGAGCATGACAAGAAATCACACGTGTGACCTGCATAATGATGACTATTCAAGGGGATTTCTGGGTCAGCTAAACTGTCGCCTTAGCGCTCGCGCTGGCGTTCTCGACTGCGACTCCGACTACGATCGCGGTCGCGATCTCTGTCGTAGTAGTCGCTGTTGGGGCGGTGTGGGCGGTAGGGTCGACTGCGATCCGAGCGGCTGTGGTGGTGGTGGCCTCCGCTGCGATAGTGGTCGCTCCTGTCGCGATATCCGCTGCGCTCGCCTCGTTGTCGCAGATAGCGGTCGCCATTCTTCGTGTTGCTTCCGTTTGCTGCTGCTGCTGCTGCCATCTCTTCGTGGTGACGCTTCTTGGATTGATACTCATGCGTAGACGACACGCTGAACTTCGGCAGACTGCGACGGCAACGATCCGCGTTAGCTGCAATAACCAATCACAATTCTAACCCAGATAGCAACTTACTCGCGCGGTTTGCACGTTTGTACGCGCCAAAAGTAGTCGTGGTCCATGGCTTCAGCGGCTGTGATGCGCTTGGCAGGGTCAAGCTGCAATAACTTTTCTAGCAAGTCGATTGCGTGTGGGGGAAAACTACGCGAGCAGCACACAACAGTTAGTCCACGACTGTAAAGAGCTCGTCTTCTACAATAGTAGCGCTGAATTACTTTTTGAATCGCTCACGCAGTGGGCAGACGAACTTGTCGTCCATTTGGAAGCTCTCGGCCCCCGGTAGCATAAAGAATCCAGGCCACGTTTCCTCCGTCGGCATGCCACGCAGCCCAAAGATCAGCTGGAGCTGCGTCAAAAACCAAAGCAACGTTAGTATTATCTCCCTCCGACTGACTTAAAGCCAGCATCACGATAACGAACCTGCTCAATCTCAGTCTTGCCTTGTAGAATAGGCTTCCCTAATAGCAGCTCGCCGAAGATGCAGCCAATCGACCAGACATCCACCGAGCAATCGTACGACGTTGAACCCATGAGCAGTTCCGGTGGTCGGTACCAAAGCGTGACGACCTTGTTCGTGTACCTCCCAGCCTTTGCGTTCACCTCGTTCCAGAACCTCGAGAGGCCGAAATCGCCGACCTTGAGCATCCCTTGGTTGTTCAGCAGCAGGTTGGACGCTTTAATATCGCGATGGAGGATCTTGTTGCGGTGCATGAACGCGATTCCCGTCAGCAGCTGCCGCATGTAACATTGGATCTGTGTGCGCGTGAACTTAACGCGCGGATGGTTCAATAGCCCTGAGAGATCGTGCTCCATGTACTCGAACGCAAAGTACAATGGCGGTCTCTTGCCTTCCTTTGGCGGAGCTGCAGTTTGGCAGCATAAGAGTGCGAATAGGCGGGGCAAGGTTCTGTTGAGATCTGCCATCACGCATACCTACAAAAGCTACTTACCACTCGATGAAACGATCTCCTTGAGCTCCAATATGTTTGGGTGTTTGAGGTACTTGAGGATCTTCATCTCGCGGATAGAAGTCACCGGGAACTACACCAAAGTAATTGTTACAACGTCAGCAGAAATGTTACACCAATGCAGTACTACGGTAGCTAGCTAGAATACTGCACGTACTCCGTTCTTCTCGACATCTGGCCTCAGTTTCTTCAGCGCTACAATATCCTTCGTCACTTTATGCTGACACTTGAACACCTCACTACAGTCCAACAACTCCATTAGGGGCGCAGCTCTCTCTCTCTCTCTTTACACACTGGACGTACCCATATGTGCCCGATCCAACCTTGTCAATTATACTGTAGTTGTCGATATCTCCGATATAAAATCTGGGCTTCTTGGTCGGCTCTTCCCTCACTGTCTCTGTTGGCATGATCTCCCGTTCTCTCACGGCACTTCTCATAGACGCAATGACCGATGACGACGAGGCGTCTGCTAGCGCTGTGAGGTCTGTTGTGCTGCCTGTCTCGTCCCGTTCGTCGTCTCCATCTTCTCCGTCACTCTCGTCTCTCTGTTTAGGTGGCGATGTAGGCACCCCAGTGTCTTCGGTGGCTTGCACAGCACTTTCAAGGGCCCCAGACAAGTCTACAGCGATCTTAGCGCCCGGAGGGGAGAATGGAGGTGGCGGAGGTGGGGGCGGCGTGCGCAATGGACTTGCAACAGGTGGAGAAGGCGGCGGTGGAGGCGTTGGGAAGCTCTGGGGCTCTGCTGGCTCGTCAGCGCTCTCTACACTGCGCGTATCGTCGTCATTTTCCTCCAATGGTCGGTACTTGGGTGGCGTACAGGACGGAGGGGGCGGAGCTGGCGGGTCTTCAGGACAAGGAGGCAATGGAGACGAGAAGCTGGAGTTGTGGCTGCTCTTAGACTTGTCTGGAGTGGGTCGAGGGAGTGCGGCGGGCGTACGCGCTGTTCTACGAGCTTTCGAAGTGGATTTGGAGGGTTTCTTAGGCACAGAAGACGCAAGAGACGCAGCAGAGTGCGATGGTGGCGGAGGCAGAGGCGAGGACGGCGCAGGAGGAGACGAGGGCGGCGCGGCGTCCGCCATAGCTTGATGGACTTGTGAGTACGGCTTGAGCAACATAAACTCGATAAAGATTAACAAGCAACTTAAACTAAGTTGCGGAAGGAAGTTGAAGTTGTTGTTAAAAACGGGCAACGGCGACGATTGAGTGCCGCAACGTTGGTCGCTACACTTGCCGGAGGGTAACTGGAAGGAAACGACTGCCACTTGCTTGAGCCATTGTGTTGCTATCTCAGTCTTCTGGCCATTGCGGATGGTGCAAGACGACACTGGAGCAGCAATGTTGCTGCTGAGTAGAATCAACGAAACTCTGAGCGACTCGAGCTCGGGCAGTACTGCTGGCCACATGGCGGACTCGACGGCCGGCCAACGCCACAGTGCGTTCGTAGAAGAAAATGGTAGTTGCACTGTTGAGTATACGCACTGACGATTATTTGTGGCGACAGGCATCGAGTTCTATCTGTATGTGTTTCTGGGCGTCGTCGTCGCGCTGGCTGGTGGATCCGTGATGCTCTACTGTCTGCATCAGCGTCGGATGCAGCGCTTCGAGCAGAACGACAACGCCAACAACAACATGCAGAGACATTTGCTCGAGGACAGCGTCATCCAGGACGGACAAGAAGAGTGGCAGTGCTCGGTGTGTTATCACGAGAATCATCCTGCCAAGAGGGAGTGTCTGATGTGCGGCACGCCGGAAGGTGCGAAAAGGAAGAAAGTCTTGTAGTTCTTCTTGCTGACATTTTTCCATTGATGCAGTTATCTCGCAGGGGGTGGCGATGCCATCAGCACCTAGTGGCAAACAAGCGAGAAAGTCGTTCCAGCTGCTCACAAGCGAATCGACGGAGGCGCAGGCTGCGCTTGCCGCTCGGAATCGCTCGTTTCATGTTCGGCGTTTGAATGAGATGAATCTCAACCAAAGACAGCGAGGCGCACGACGACGCCATTTGTGGCAGCGAGAGAGAACTGCTGCTGGTCAGTTCCGCTGGGTGCGCGTCGGTCATTGCCAGCCACCTCGGCTCAGCCAGTTCGCCTTAAGCATCCGTGCTAGTTTTCCAACAGCTGCAGCCTCATTGATACCGGGAGGTGCTGGAACGGAGAACGAGCGAGTGTCGGCGCCTGCAGCGTATGCTTTCGACGAAGAATCTCACAGTTCGACCAGCCCGATATCACCCACAAGGGCTAGTCATAGCAACAAGGAAGATCTGGGCGTGGAAACGGAGTTGACCATGGTTGAATCGACGCACGCTGATGGGGCCTTTTCGCCTGCCATCCGCAAGAACGTCCGAATTTGTCGTAGCCCAGTCAACTGCGATGATCTCACGGCATCAGCAGTAAGTACAGACGACGGCCTGATAGCGCAGCCGTCCGTTGGCTACATACGGCACGTAAACGAACACGGGCATGCTGAATGGGTACCTGCAGACTCGCTGGTGCACGAGCGCGCGGCGATGACTGCGATTGATATCGAGGAATTCCCACGAGCCACCAGCTTTATCGACTTCGAATCGGTCGCGGCTCTTCCTTTTACGGCAAAAGTGCGCTGGTTTCTGAAAGAATTGGGCAAAGTGGCCGTGCCATGGGATGAGGGCCACCTTCTCCTCAAGATCCGTCGCGAAGCTGTGCTGAGTGAGTCCATGCACTTGCTTATGCTGGTCCCTGCGGCTGATCTTAGGCAGCGCTTACGAATCGAGTTCATCGACGAGCCTGGGTTAGATGCCGGCGGTCTGTTGCGCGAGTGGGTTCTACTCCTTTGCGAGCAGCTCTTTGACGAGAGCTATGGACTATTCCAGCGAACACACGCCGACCAATCGGGCTACTGGATCAACCCGAACTCGCGTGAAATCCATCGCGATCACTTGCACTGCTTCCAGTTCATTGGGCGATTACTGGCGAAATGTATGCTCGAAGGACAGTTGTTGACAGTGCACTTGGCACTTCCGCTTCTCAAGCATCTACTGGGAGTGCCTATCTCCTTCTCTGACCTTGAATTCCTAGATGCAGAACTCCATCGTCACGCACTCTGGCTGCGGGACAATGAAGGCGCCGAAGCTCTCGCCCTCGACTTCACAGCTCAACGACAGGGAAATGACGGATCCATCATCACAGAGGAACTCAAAGCAGGAGGCAAAGACATTCCCGTGACAGATGCCAATAAGGAAGAGTATCTGACGCTGTTGCTCAAGCACAAGATGTTTGGTGCGGTGCGGGAGCAGCTCGAGGCCTTGCTTCAAGGTCTGTACGACGTCCTGCCACGCACACTCCTGGCGGTCTTCGATTACCAAGAGCTGGAGCTGCTTGTGTGCGGTGTGCCGTCAATCGACGTCGCCGACTGGGAATCCCACACTGACGTCCGCTACATGCGCGCCGAGCAGGGTCCTAACAAACCGGCGGCAGCAGAGCGCCAAGTCGTGAAGTGGTTCTGGGACACTGTGCGTGGGTTCTCGCAGGAAGAACGTGCACGTCTACTGCAGTTCGTCACCGGCACCTCTCGTGTGCCGGCTGAAGGCTTCCGAGCATTGCTAAGCCACGACGGACGTATCCGTCGCTTCGGTCTTCAGATGGTGGCAATTGGAGCTCCTCCAGCTGGGCTCTACCCGAAAGCTCACACGTGCTTCAACCGCCTGGATCTACCGGTCTATCGCTCACTGGAAGAGCTCGTCACGTACCTAACTCTCGTTATTAACATGGAGATCACAGGATTTACCATGCAGTAAAGGCAACAGATACTTCTCAGCCCACAAGTCTTGAGGTGAACGTACATGTATCGATATATCTATATGGTGCGTCAGTCGCAGCTGCTTAGTTGTTCACTGAGAACTTGTGGCCGCACTTCTTACACTCGTAGAAGACCGTCTGGCCCTCGTCGGCCGAACGGAGCTGTAGCGTGTAGTAGTCCATCTCCGGGTTGCCGCACTTGGGGCATGTCTCCTCCACCGTGGCGCGGGCGGGGCCCGTGACTTCGCTCATGACCTTCTCAGCATCCAGCCACTTGGGTGTCGGCTTGTCCTCGCTACGGGTCACCACTGTCAGCGACGGCAGATCTGGACAATTGACGAAGGTTAAAGTGGGTCATATTGTTGATGTCACAATAACGCAGCAGAGACGCACCTTGATAGCGGCAACGGTATTCACACGCGGAGCACACGATGCTGTTTGTGTCCGGGTGGTCCAAGATGGTACCGCAGTGCGGACAGAAGGCCGGACCTGTGGATGTCGCGCTCGAGGCGAAGAACTCCGTCGACATGGTTGCTACACTGCTAATGTGTCGATGCTTTTTCAGCCAACCGATGCGATTTCCATGTTGCAAAGATAGAATTCTAGATTTGGTTTCAGATCTGAATTTGCTAGATCACATCAAAAATCAAATATATATTTCAGCTGGAATTTTTTTAGCTGCGTTTTGGCAGAAACTTTCATTTCTATCTTTTACTAAGAAAAAAAACAGCTCCGTAGATGACAGAAAAAAACGCTGCGACAAAACTCTAAAAACGTTTTTTTGCCATTTCCGTCCGAGCGATGTTTTTTTGTCATCTTCGGTTTTCATTTCCAAACAATTGAGAGGCTTCTGCGTAATTGCAACTTCAACAAAAACTGGTTTCATGGAATGGTTTCAACATAATTGCATTCAGGAAAACCACTCGCTCCAGGCAAAGTCACCACGTTGCTGCGCATTCTGCGAGGATGATAAACTATTGTGAGCCGTGCGCTTAGCCGCGATCTCGACACGGCAAATTGGACACGAATTGCCGATCTGCAGCCACTCGTGCAGACACACAGTGTGGAACATGTGCTGAGTTGAAGATTTGTTCAAACACATAGTGAGAAGGACGCACGGCCAAAACAAGTTCCAATAAAAAACCTTACTGTACCTGACATGGCATCCGTGTGACTTTCATGCCGATCGACATCTCCACCTGGCAGATTACACACTCGCGAGCGTCCTTCCGCACGATGATGTCGGCCGAAATACCCTCGTCGCGTTTGTCGCGGACAAATTCCACAAATCTGTGAAAAAAGTGATCGGGTCCGACTAAACTCATGCAAACAAACGCTCAACTACAGCAGCGCTTGACTTTACCCTTTGCCGACTTTCGCGCTCATCATGAACGCAGGGATCGTCACGTTCTTGCTTTCGCCGGAAGAGTCCGTCATCGTATACGGCCACACGTCGACGGTCTGGATGATGATCACTCCTGCAGCACCCGCAGCTTGAGCTCGAAGAACCTTTTGCGCAAACGTGCAGCCTCCGCGTGCCATCACCACGATCTTCGGAATAGAGAAAGCAGAAGCGAAAAGCGATTGAGCATTCGACGCACCATTTTCATCTTATCTAATATCCCACCTTGTCTTTCATCTCACTGATAGTCTGAAAGGGTTTGGCACCGTCGAAAGGGTCAGCAATGACAACACTGCGCTTCTTGATCGACTCACACGGGCCAAAGTTCCCGGGGATAGCGATCACCTGACCAAAAACCACATTCGAAAGCGTAAATATCTCCCAAATTCTTCTTTGCGAACCAACTAAAGACCCACCTCGCCCTTGATCCCCTCCACGATGACAGCCACTTCAATCGTTGACGCCTGGTCAGCAGTGAACGGCCCCAAGTTCTTTACTGGGTTTTTTACGTACAGTAATCATTGAGGCCAATAAACTTAGTGTCGACTGATCGAACAACAATAGCGGCACAGTCTCCCTTACCAGCCTCGTCAGACGCAGGTCGACGCGCTCCAGTATCTCCTCCTCCGTTCCAGTCGGTGCCGATCTGCGTCAATAAGCGCATTACCATTGTCTGCAGCTCCTGTACACTCGTCTCGGTGCCGTCAAACATCGCGCCAGGTATGGTCTATACCGCAAATACAATTGAGCCTCAATCACCAGCTTACTTCGGAATAAAACATTGCAGGAGTGTATTCCAGACACACCTGCCCTGCCGGAGCTGTAGGTTGCTGTCGACGTTCTAGCTCGCAGCCACACATCAAGCAGCGCTTACGATCTACAGTGCCAACCACAGTACAACGGTTAGTCAGAAGCCCGCTCGCTTGAGGTCCAACCAGGCATATCCCCCTTTACCTGCCGTCATGGACTGAGGGACTTCATTGCAATCTCTGCAGAAAAGCTCGACAGCTGCAGTCGAAGCAGTCTGTATACAGCAGTGACACAACCAAGATAATTAGTTACAGTTAAGGGGTGGTCGAACGCGTTCGTGCTGGCTGCATACATCGGCGGCTGTGAACGCCAAGTCATCGAACGATGCCATTCTTTTCGGCAAATGTGACCTTGGACAACATTCACCTGTCTAATCCGATGATATGTATCCATGTGCCACAAAACTGTTTTGAGCAGGTTGATTGGAAGTAGCTTTGCATTTTAACATTGATACGGCATACTAGTAACTAAATAACTGCGGCAAGCGTCGTCGCGCTGCCAATACACGAGAATTTCACTATCTCGTGGTGCGAGAGGCTGAGTCGTTGCTGACGTCGGTGCGACTTGTGGCGAAGTCGTAAGCTTCGAGCTTGACGACCAGAACGGTGATATTGTCGGCAGCACGGCGATCCAGTGCGAGTGCAACGAGTGCGTCTGCGGCGGCCTGTGGGTCTTTGAAGCGGGTAGCGACCTTTGCTGCCTGCTTGTTTGTGACCACGTCCCAGAGTCCGTCCGTCGCCATAATGAGGAAGCGGTCGTTCTTACTGACCTTACGGGTCTGCACCTCGGGGTCACAAGAGATGTACGGCTTCAGAGATACATCGCCGATCGATCGTGACACAGCCAACTGGCCGTTCACGCGCGGGACGTCGATCATCTTCTTGAAAGGCCACATTTTATACATGAATCTGGGTTTGCCGGTGACGAAGGCACCTTTGGCTTTCAGACGTTCGCGTTCGTCCTTGCGGTTGGGTTTCTGGTCGTCGGACATTGCAATGGCGTCACCATGGCGGGTGACCACTACGGCACGGGAGTCACCAACGTTGCCGACATGCAGGAGACCGTCACGCACGATGGCAACGAGTAGTGTGGAGCCGTCGTCCGTGGCGAACGAGCGTTTGTGGCTCCGACGAGCGGCCGAGGCGATTGCGGAATTTGAAGCGTGGCGAGCGATGTTGCAGAAGTCGGCGTCTAGCAAAAGGCGAACAAGAATGGTAAGATATTAAAAAAATCATTCAGTCTCGCTGCAAGTGCGAAGACGTACCGAGGCCTCGAACGGCGTTAGTAATGGCGTCGTTCACAGTGGATTCCTGGGCGAGCTGCTCATGGATTCGCGGGAAAATATTCTCGGCGCAGAAGCGCGAGGCGCGGTCGCCCGCGTGACCGTCGAAGATGCCGAAGCAGCCACTGGCCGAGCTGGTGTATCCATTGAGAGTGAGTCTCTCCACTACCTTGCCTCCGATGAAGTAGGCGTCCTGTTGGGTGTCAAAAAGTGGCATCAGAGTCAGCACTGGGTCATGAATAATGGCAATTATTACATTATTTTACAAAACGAGAGCGCACCTCTTGGTTGAGTTTGCCACCACGGTCGGTAGCGATGCCGACGGGTACGTCGTACATGTCATCTGTCTCGAGCTGCTTGGAAGCGGGGCTAACGGCTACGAACTCGTCAGGTTTTGAGGAGGTGGGATGCTTTCGCTTGTGATGGAGCGGAACTCCGGTCATGGTGAGTGTGGGTTGCTGGGGGCAGTGAAGTAGCGGTGGGGTTTTCTCGGTGGTGCAATGATATTATGTTTGCACAAGGACGAAAATTGCGTAATGACCGCCCATTTGCAGATGTCAGTGATTTTTCGTCCGTCGCTGCGCCCATGATGACGGCGCGGATCGCAAAGCGATGGCGACGTTTCGCGCTGGACCTTATTGTCTTAGTGAACCCCATATAAAAAAGTCCCGTCGTAAAGGTAGGAAATGCTGCTTTGCTTACCATCCCAGAGGGAAGCGCGAAGAGAGCATGCTTCACATGTGCCGGATCGGCACTGCCGGTAAGGCATTGGAAATTGCACTGCAATAGCATGCAAACTACGTAGACCTCGAAACCCGGAGTAAGAGCACATCTGTGCCCTGCGATAGCGTAGGAGCGCTACGCTTCCGGCAGTGCCACGACCACCACTAAGCTACAGCAGGAATCTTGGAGATACGCTTTTATAGCAATCGGCGCTACGCGGAATCATTCGGCACGACGACTGGACACACCTGTGCAGGGAAGGCGCAGATCCGCCCAGACACACACGCGACGCGCACCAGGAAGGCTGGTCACCAGCGCAGACGGAGCGTTGTGCCAATCTTTCGCAGAGCTCCAAGTTTCAGTTTGTTTTTTAATCTGCATTCCGACACCGTCACTCGCAGAAAGATCTGACGAAAGCTACGATAATACTGGTAGCGATTCGCTACTATTCATAGCGAATGTACAGTAGTTCGTCAGATCTCTGGGGGCGAGTCGTTATTATTAATACAATAGGTATTACAGTACTCGTACAAGTATAGCCAACAGGGCAGGTCTCCAAGCTGCCCAGACGGTGAGTTAACTTGGTCACCAACACTCCGAAGCGGGCGCGAAATCATGGACGGTCCCTGCAGCCCGTGTCAGGGAGAATCTAACGAGGGCCCTCATCCGGAGGGCTCTCGCACAAAAGGTCCATGTGTGATTGTGATGTACCTACCGGTATAAACCGGTACTTTCGTGTAGACGAATGGCTGTAAGCTGTAGACGAAGATTATAGACGAACGAAAGGTCACCAAATACAATTTGATTAGCCATGAGCGGCAACAACCTCCCCCTTCACGCTATTCAGCCGCCCAGAGACCACTTACAGCTCTCACGATGCCGCTGAAGCCGCGCTGCACCAGTGGACGCTAGATCACGGCTTCAACGTCTCTCGCCGACGTGTTCGGTACAAGGGTGGCCCCGAACGCGAAATTTGGGCTCGTAACTACGAGTGTGACCGTGCAGGGGCCCCTAAGAACACTCAACACCTGACCGAGCATGATCGGAAGCGTACGCTACGGGGATCGAAGCGCTCGGCTTGCCCGATGCGGATAGGGATTAGGGCTGTATTTAAAGATGACACTGCCGGCCAGTGGAAGATTGTTCATACTGCTCGAAGCACGCATCATAATCATCAACCTTCGCGGGATGTTCGTGGGTGGACGTTGAGAACCCTGCTCCTGGTCAACCAAAGAAGGAGAATTCTTGGCAAACGAACTCATTTATGGCGAGTTTCTACGAGGCTGTGGACGCCGAAACAGAAGCCGACTTCAATGCCAAGCGTGAGGATCTAATTGAGAAGTGCAAACCAGTGTCAGATTACCTCGATCTGCATTGGTGGAAATACAAGACAAGGATTGTCAACACTGTACAAACAAGTACATGCACTTTGGTGTCCGCGATACTTCCACAGTTGAAGGAGCGCATGCCAAGATCAGAGCAAATTCGAATCGAGTCAAGGAGATTTGTACACGGTGTTTAAGAAGCTTCTGAGTTGGTGGACGATCGCGGCGTCGGAGACGCGCTTACTTATGGAGCAAAACGCAGTCACTGCACCTCACATATTCCAGAAGAACCGTTATTCCAGAGTAGTTCGTATTATCACACGAGTAGCTCTGGGAGAAACAGAGAGGCTGTAGAAAGATGCGGAGAAGATAGTAAACAGCGGGGTTTAGCGTAGCAAGTGCTCAGGTGTTTTCCGTGTCGTACACGGCAGACCATGCCTGCACGAGATAATTTCGATCATCGAGTCCAACGGGCAGCGGTTCTTAGCTCCTCATGATTTCGACAAGCATTGGTGGGTTTATAGGGATCAAGATAAGCACACTGTGCCAAGAATTCAAGAACCAGCTACAATCCGCACGATTCGAAAGGGAAAACGACAAGCCCAGCATCGAAAGAATCAAGGCAAAAGAGGAACTGGACGCGAGCCAACTTTCAGTGAGCGCATGGATTTGAGTCATCCTGCTACTCCACCTACAATGTTAGGTCTGCCCCGATTGATATGCAACAGTTCGGCATCCACGAAGGAGACGTAATTTTGAGTTTCGAAGACGCTTTCCTACCACCGCGTTCATGGGGTTTTGCCGGCCGTATCCCCTTTACTGACCAGCAGCCAAACGAGAAGCAGTAGACCAGACAGAAGCTATACGTCTAAATATATGTTTTCTTGCAACTTCAACTTTAAATTTTACTTCGACTTCCAATAATTCAAAAAAAAGGAAATTTGCAATATGAACCTTCAAATGCGATGTAATGAGATCTTCTCCACCTGCTGGTCGCTCCCGTGGTCTCAGTTCGCGTGTGAACGCAAGCTACTCGCCACGGGGTATTCGACGTTGGGGCACAACTCGCATCTGAAGACATCCTCCTTGGCCTGACCCTGTCGCTTCAACCGGTTCGAAGCTCCATCGGGATTCTGCTCACACAAATACCGATGTTTGCGCAGCCCAGGCCCTTTTAGCATCTTGACACCGCAGAAACACACACACCATGGCTCGGAAGAACATTTTGGACCACATCAGGTGTCTAGTGCACGTCGTCGTAGCTTAGATAGCAGTGTACACGGTAGTTAGTTTTGATGAAAGCAACACCGCTGTGAATGAGATCTCCTCTAAAGATTAGGCAAAATCCCACGGGAATTTCCACAATGCGCTCTTTGCTGTCGTCCCTGGCAGCGAAGCATCCGTCGAAGACTCGAAGCCTCGTATTGGGCTGCAAAGCTAGCACCATGCTTGCTGGAACTCCGCCGGGATGGGCTGCGCGGGCACGAACTATGTCGTCGCCTTGGTAGTCCTGGTGGGCCTCCTGCTCTGTTCCGCCTGGCTTCGAGCGCATGAGCGAGAATACGCCTGGCTTCCAACCCAGGTGCAGCATTCCAATGACTACAGCCAGCGCCTTACGCAGCTCCAAGAGAGCTGGCGACAACGCAGCACTATCCACGCGAGACTGTTGGCGGTAGGAGTCGTCGCCACCTCCGACACGATTGAAAACTCCAGTGTACGTACGGGCCTTAGCTTCGGCTAGTAGTGTAGGTATAACGCGATCCGGTAGGACGAGGCCCACGGCCAGATATCCATTCGGCAGCAAGGGCCCGGTGACCGAGTTCATGAGTTTGCTTAGAATCTGAAAGTAAAACGTTTTTGTTTTTGCAACGGGAACGGTCGTTGGGACGGGAACGATTTGCAACGGGAACGGTCTCTGCAACGGGAACGATTTATACTGGTATTTACAAGTACAGATACCGGTAAACTGTAGTTTTTCTTACTGCTCTTTTTTATGCGAGGGCCCTCCGGATGAGGGCCCTCGTTAGATTCTCCCACAGGTTGCTGCAATGCTGTTTCAGCACACAGCAAATCATTTGTCTTGACTTCTGTAAACGTTTGACCTTCTAAGTGTCGCAATAAGACATAATCGACGATTAGAGGTCACAGCAGAAAAGGGACCAGCCGCGCTTCGCTTGGCCGGGCGCCCCTTCGGCGCCCCCGCGGTTCGCTGCGCAATAGATTTAAGATTTCCAAATACAGTATACGCTTGATCGGTTACGGTTTGTCAATGATGTGTCCTAATTGGTGACACAGCGTACAAGTTATTGTACAAAATGTCTTACCATACAAAATATGTTCTGTACCATACGTCGATACATCACCTTTTACAGGATAGGTAAATCAATGGTGCCCAGGAAACTCTCTGAAGACAGACTTATAAAATTCAATCACATCTCTTTTTTCTCTCCTCTACTCAAACTCCTCCATTTTTTCGCCTCACCCTCAATACGGTTGACTAAAGACTACAAAACCTACTGCAATGGTCGGCGCGTAGCCTGAAGCAGTTCTTGTTGAAAGGTGATTTACTGCAGATATGGATGAGGAAGGACACTTGGCATGTAACGGGGTACGTAGCCTTAAGTATACCCCTAGTTACATGAAGTGTGACACGTCATACTTCGGGATATTTGGTACAAGGTACCAAGGTCGTTCATTGGCTGATGACATTGCTTTTCTAAAGGTGACTTATAGTTTGTATTAAGCTCAAGCTTTATCTACCTATAAATATACTCAGTTTACATTCTACCTTAAATTGGTCACTTCGCGCCCTTTTTATATAAGGGGACCTGTGAACTGCCGTTCACTGAGAGTTGGTATACTCTCGGAAGCCAACTTCCTTTTAGCGCAAGGTACTGTGTGACCCCGTCACATGGCAAGTGAAAGGAAAAGAGAACTGAGGTATTCGAGCTAGCTGGTACTACG